TTTGCCTGTTACATGAACTATATTTTTCATCATATTATTGTACCATTATTTGAACAAACTTAACTTATGTTACAAAACTAAAATATTTTTCAGCAAACCTGTCAAAACTATACTTTTTACTTGTTTCAAATTTATTTTGCTAATGGAAACAAGCAGCTGTTTAGTAAGTGATTCAATAGTTTCTACTAAGACGATTGTGTTAGTGTACATTATTTTATTGATATGTCCAACTATTTATGATGAGGCAACAATTAACTACAATCGATTAAATAATTCATACTTACCAGTACCTACGTTTATACATGCAACTGTTAAAGCTACTAAGCCTATTGCAATTTTTACAACTGAATTGACAACAGCTGATTTTTACTCCCTAGGGGCTAAAATCGCTTTTATTCACTAGAGAGTAAAAATGCTACTTTAGACCCACATGCATTAAAAACGGCTATTTTTGCTGTAGGCCTAGTAAGCTAACTTATGATGAAAAAGTATTTTTGGAAAATATGAAATAGGCCTACTGTTTATATCTTAATGTTTTTCATATAGACTAGGGTACAATAACTTTGATATTAAATTTAATTATCGCTTACACCAAATCGCTTAGTTTCACAACCTTTTTAGAATCATTTTATACTAAAGCCTAAAAAATATTTTACTAAATTTTAGTTATTAAGTTAAATCCCAATCAGCATATTTACCTGAAAAAGGTAAAGGCTATATTACAGAAAATTTGTGTGTTTACCTGTAAAATTTAACTCTAGGCTATAGGAAAAAAAATAGGCCTACTATGACATTTTCATTGTCTAGGTGAATAGAGTTGTAGGGGAGAGTGGGGCACATTCATACAATTTTCAAAAATTTTTACTCGTAATTTTTTTAAATTTTTGTTTTCGCTTATTTTAAGCTCCAAATAAATGATTAATAATTATGTAAGCTTAATAGGCATTCAGAATATCATATTTTCAACTAAAAAAAACAAGAGAATATTAGCTTTAAAAAAATATTTCCAACCAATGTGTTTTGTATTTGTATGAAACTACCCCAACATTGGGGCAGTTTCATATAGGTTTTTCATACACTGGGTGGGGAAGTATAAAACCGGCGGCATTCAGTTTTGACTCTATATATTTCATGTTTTTTACATTTTCTCTTTAGGCCTACATAAATACTAGGCTATCCCATATTGTAATGGCTTAGGTCAAGTTTAAAAGTTAAGCCCTCTATAGCACGTTCAGTACCTCCTATAATGGTTGGAGGGGGAAGTTTTAAACAAATGTCTTCAATTGACACATCACTCAAATCCTTATTTGGGGGAAAGAAAAACTTTCTCTTATCTTGAGTGCGAAGAAAGTTGACTTACTCATGAAGTCCAATCAGTTCTTCAATTTGACCTGCAAAGTATTTGAATGGGTTTTTTTTGTATGAAACTTGACCAACACAAAGTCGTTAAGTCCCAATATTTTTTGATTTATATGAGGTTCATTTCAAGTTCTTCCTCACTACTAAGGATGAAGTTACTTTCTCCACTAGAGATTGAATTTTCTTCTGCAGAAGTTGAGTCTTCAATTGCACTGGTTTTGATCTTCTTCGTCTTGAGCTTTTTTCATTAAGGCCTAACGTTTGAATTTTCAATGCTGAACAATTTTCTTCTCTTTCTTTTTTTCTATTTCTTCTTTCTTTCTCTGCTTTTCAACTTTTTCCTATCCAATCAAGATTAGCCTTTCTTTTTCTGGCGTATCTGTTAGTATGCGTGTTTTACCTTTTACTCTCCCTTTGGATGTAGGCAGATTAGAGACTCTAGGGCTGGATTTCGGAAATGGCCCAATGCTTTCAGGTGTTATTACAGGACCTGATTTGGAGTGTGATTGACATGGCGAAGATAGGCCTAGGTCTAAAACTCTGGCTGTAATTGGGGGCAAAATGCCTGGTGAATCAATTGGCAAGGTTTACAACTGATTAGCATTTGAAAACAACGCTTCACAAGAATTGTTGGTTGATGTCCAGGTACCAGATAAACTGGAATTTACTGATGTTGATGCATCATTGGGAATATGATTTAATGTTGATGTGCTGGGTAACTCACGGTCCGTGACGTACGATGGTAAAAAATCATCAGACGTAAAAACATCCTCGTTGATTGGCCACAACCCTGTTTTGGCTAAATAAGGCTAAAATTGCATCATTGAATAAGCTGAACACAAGATATCATCTTGGTTTGATGATTTAATCCTTTGTGATCGGATGGCTAAAGTGAAATATCTTATGTATTTACTAAACCTGATTGTATTTGTTACTCATACAAACAACAAGTTGAAAGTTCTCTTTTAATCTTCTTTGATTTTTTCCCCTGAGTGGTATATTTTACAACATTCACCTATATGAAGTCTGGGATTGTTAAAAAAGTTAACCTTTTCTTTCTTTTCCTTGTCTTATATCGCTACACACTGTGCAATCCTTTGTTTTACCTTCATCAAGCGGATAGGGCAGAGGTAGTTTCCCATTTAGTCCTCGTCCTCTACGCCAAGTTTTCCTCGTTTATTTGACATTTCTTCTCCAACCAGTGTCAACATTTTTCTAACGTCTCTGGGGAACAACTTTTTCCCTTTCTTAATTGACATTGTCTAGAAAGAATAATTTTACAATTGTGGTTTCCAAAAGTCAAAAGAACATTTTCCTACGCCGTTTCAGGGATGTTATGGGGAATGAATATAATGAATAGTAGCCTACTTACTGATCTGCGATGTCCACACCACCCATATGCTTATTACCATAACTGCACCAGGCTTTTTCACCAACTCCCCTACTCCCCCTTTCTTGTAGCGCCTTACCGTTTCGGCAGAGTTATCACCGTACATTGTTGGACTTAGAACAGCCACAAAGTTTTTGTCTTTTTACAACAAAAGAGATACTTCGTAATTTTTTCTGTAGATTTTGATTTCCCCAGTTTTAATTTCAGCTCAGGTTTATGTGAGGGTTCTTGTTTGTTTGGTTTTTGCTCTCTACTTTTAGGCCTTACTGGTCTCACTTCTTCTGGTAATCCTATTCTGTGTTTCTGCCGAATTGAGATTAGAAAAAAATATGTCAGTGAAAACGTGAAGCCCTTTAAGAACTCCCAAAGTTGCTTCAGTTTGTCTACTAAGTGTAAGACACTTAGACTAGTCAGCCCTAATAAAGCAAACTGTATTTGTTTTAAATACCATATGGCTCAATAGCACAAATATAACCCGTAGTCAAGTCTGACAGGATGAAGACCTTGATTCCCCATTTAATGGCCTTAATTTAATGGTCTTAGTTGTAGGATTTAAATAGGATCCTTCCTTTGAGCCCAACCATGCTTCGTCTACACTTCATTCTGTGGGATAAAATACTCTCTAATTTCTTATTGAGGCATGCAGTGTCATTTCCCACCTTTCCTGATAGAGTTGAAGTCCCAGCTACTGCTACCAGATAGGGGTGGAAAGACCTTGCAGATTTAAGAAGATTTGTAAAAATATCTCTTTACTGAAGACATCTTTGAAGAATGGTTGGTAGTCAACCCAATAGTTTGATGAGTAGTTACTGATCTCTGGTTTCTCATTCATCGCCATGTTATTTATGAGTCCAAAAAAAGCTTTCAACTCTTGCAATGTAAGGTCGTTACACGAAAGCCAGATGGATTTCTTCTTAAGTGGTGTAGGCCTAGGCCCTATTCTTCTGCATTTTTTGTGAAGCATATCGGGTTGTTTCTTTCACTATTTCTAACATTAAAGCATCTGTAAAAATAAGCTGAAACAATTTGTAAGTCGTATAGTTAGTGTTTAGTCATTTGGTGGCTTATAACCACTATCATGTTTTACAGAAACTTATTAAAATTTCATCCCCTTCAGACCATACCTTCTACTATTAAAATGTCATCCCCTTCAGACCATACCTTCTACTATTAAAATGTCATCCCCTTCAGACCATACCTTCCACTGTCCTGCCTCCTGACACACCCATACCTTATTCATTTTCTGGCCCTTGGGCACCTTCATCTTCAACTTCCGTGCCATCATTATTTTCACTTTTGTTTGCCACTTCCGTGCCTTTGAAATGTCCATTAAATTCCACATGAGCTGCTTGAACTTCACTACTTCAACCATCCTCTTCCAAATTTCCATAGGCTTCATATCCCTCATATACTTCTTCTCGAATAAAGTCTTCACTCTGCAGCTAAATCAGTCAAATTAACACCGCTTCCATAGTAAATATCAGGATTGTCAACAACTTCATCAGCAAATAACAAGCCTCTCAATTCGTCTGATCTTAACGATCGTCCATTATTACTTAGTTAAATATACGGGAATAAAAACAAACTTAACTCCATTCTTACTACTAAATTTGTTTTATACGGGATAAAAAGTTTTATTGTAGGCCTAATTATGATAAAAGTTTAGGCCTATACGTTAAACGTACTAAGTATTCTTATAACCAACTCTAATGTACATAAAAACATAAAACTTCATTTTAACACAAATAAACACAAAATTTATCGAGAAAACCTCACGTAAAACTGAACCAAAACAATGATGATTATGACAGCACTTGTGTCAGGACAATAGGTGTTCATTTTAGTTGTTTCCACCACAATTTGTACGATAAAAAATACGATATTGCAAGCCTGCTGATCCTTTAGTTTATCAATTCCTTATTAGGTTGTAGCACTCTACAGGCATCATACCACAGTTTGGAATATTACAAACTAAAATATTGTTGTCGGCCAGTCCTACTGGATGCCCAAGCGTTTGTAGGATTTCATGTTTGCCAATCTGATTGCAAAGGATAACTGCTACCGGTATAGAAAAAAATCCGACTTCCACGCGCTAAGCGGCAAATATTCATTCCGATCGCAAATGATTAAAACTGAAAAAATATTTTCAAAATCAGACTTTATGATTTGTTCAAATTGACAATTCAATTAGTAATTATATGGTCTAATATATGATACCTATTTAATAAATTAATGCCATGTGAAATTTCAGAAAACCTAATTTACAAAAATGGCTGACATTGAGGACACCCACTTTGAGACCGGAGACTCTGGTGCCTCAGTTACTTACCCACAGCAGTGCTCAGCTCTGCGTAAAAACGGATTTGTTATGCTCAAGGTACGTTTGGATTTAGCCTTACAAATAAGTGGACATTCAGTAACAACCAAATTTTGCTTAACTGCCTCTACCTGGGCAAAATATAGCTTACCTGCTCTGGATTTCACACTCTGGTTAACCGTAGAGACTTCTGTTAGCATCTTTATCACAGTATTGTACTGGTAGTGTGTTGGTAATCCAGCTTAATTGGGACAAGACCTAATTTTAACCTCAATGGCCAACAAGTTTATTGCGTGCAGTTTAAGAATTTTGAAGGTATTATCATTGACTATTGGATACTGAAGTAGACATCCCATCTATATGGACCAGCTATTGCCAAGTTTTTATTAAAAAAGAACGTAGTTGTGTGAGCCAGTCACTGAATACACTAATGTCTAAAATTCCATTTTATACCTTATCTTTTGTTACTGACCCCAGGTTGATGGGTCATAACAATAGCTATAGCTCACCTTAAGTCATTCCCTAAAAGGTTTGTGGATTCGACAGAATTTAGTATTCCTAAATCGTAGTCTGTAGGTGTCTTACATCAACTATTGACGATTTTGATAAAAAATCTGGCTACAAATTTGACATGGGGATGGAATGTCTAGTTGTATTGTCGAAAGAATCTAAATATAGGTGTCACTATTTTTAAATATGTTGATTTAAACAGTTTATTTTACTTATGCAGTAATAATTACTATCTTTTTAAGTTTTAAATACCATAACATATAGTACCGGTACTGTGTCATTTATTAAAAAAAGTTTAAACTAGTTTTGATCTATTTAACAATTTTTTTACTACGGCTGTCAAACTCATTAGGGAGTACACTTAAACTTATTACACTATAGACTCATTAGAGACTAGAAAGAAGTTCAATTACCATTTTACACTTGTTTTATTATAACGTTAATGATATTTTTTAGGCTCGGCCATGTAAAATAGTGGAAATGTCAACCTCAAAGACTGGTAAACACGGGCATGCCAAAGTCCATCTTGTGGGCTTGGATATATTTACTGGAAAGAAGTATGAAGATATCTGTCCTTCTACCCACAACATGGACGTACCTTTTGTTAAACGTGAGGACTACCAGGTATGTTTGCTTAAAGTTGATAATGTTTTAATGTGATGTTATAATCTCTACTCATATACATAGGTAGTTTTGTAAGGATGCTGTGATTTGCAGTAAATCATCACCAGTTATTTCCGTGACCGTGATAAACAGCCAGAGGTGTTAAAATGATTATTGTAGGAAATAACAGATGTTACCGTAATCTCAAGTAAAATCACATAATGTTGCCGCAATCGCGAGTATTATGATTGTTGCCCGATCAAGTCAGACACTCACAACGTTTCTTATATTCGTGCTATTCAGTTTCTTTTATTCTGGCATTGCTGCAATCTTATGTAATGATCACTCTGTTGCTGCAAGTGCATTAGATACTTGAGATTTTAAGATATGATCTTGGATGAGAAATCATCACAGTTGTGGCCGTGATCATAAGAAATTATTATGAAATTTGCGTGAGATTCTCACAAAGTTGTTGCTGTTCTATAGCTTTAACAGTTGAAAATCTATTGTAAGTTTAAGAACTGATAAAACATCAAGTATCAAGACAGTAAGGACTGTTTTTTTTTCTGGGTTGTATTTTATCATATTTTAACTAGTGTTCTTTTTTGTGTCTAAATATTTTGGATTTGGATACTATATTTTAAATTCCTGTATTTTACTTGTGTCTGTGATTGGGCTACTATCGAAACCAAGAATTAAGATTTAATCCAAAATATGTTTGTTTTTCAGTAAAAAAATGTTACTTGTTTATTTTTACCCATTATCACTTTTTAGAATACAGTGCCACAAAGACTGCCATCTGCAAAAATGTTTTCTCAAAATTTGTTGCTTTTGGTGGGAAATCCCGTCCTTTTCCAAAAATCGGGAAGGAAATAAAAGTCTAGTCCCAAATTATTGTACAATTTCCCGTCCATCCTAGTTGCTGGAACCCCTGTGAAAAACTTATTATAAAGATCTTCATATAAATAATTCACATATAGTTAATCCTATGTTGTTTCCTGTGTTCCTCTTGATTAACCGTCATTGTATTTTTCAGCTTACAGATATTTCGGATGATGGCTATTTGTGTCTGATGTCTGACAATGGTGACTTACGTGAAGATCTCAAGGTTCCTGACGGTGACCTGGGTTCTCAGCTCAAGTCTGAATATGATGCTGGCAAGGAGTTGTTGGTAAGTGGATTTTCATAATGAAATGATATATATATATATATTTATCTTTAACACGTATACAGTACAGAACTTGTTGTCAAAATTAAAGATACAAGCAACCATTTTGTTACGAGGCAGGATGTTTACTTATAGCCTCTCACTGGAGGCTCGAGTCACAAATACGCTGATTTGAACAGACCAAAAATTTCTGGGATCCTCAAACCCCTAATTTTCCATATTTACAAGACTTTCTTGATGAATTAAAATGAAATTTTACCTTTGTTATTTTACCATACGCATCGTATAGTCCATTGCCACGTTGACAAATAAATTACTACCTGTTTATTACAGTACAAACAGTATTACTACAGTATTTCCTTTTTTCAGAATATTACTTTATTTGTGGTCATGAAAAGTATCAATTTGTTTTTATGAATTTTTCTACTGTGTTGTTTGGTAGTAAGGGTCCAGTCATCTTGTTTTTCATGACACTAAAAACCCATTGACATAGTGTAGGCCTAGTGTACAAAAACAACCACAAACTTGTTTCTAGCTGGCAACAAGTTAAGCCTCTAGTGTCAACCATTAGAAGCTTAAAATATTTAAACCACCTCTTGTTAATCTCTTCTGAGACCTTTACCGACATTTATGTAATCTACGCTTAAAAATGACTTATTTAGGATATCCTGATGAAAATGTTGTCATGTTTCAGTGCACTGTCTTAAAGGCTTGCGGGGAGGAGTGTGTGATTGCAATCAAAACCAACACAGCCCTTGACAAATAATGGCTGACAAATCCTGTGAAGATGGAAAGGCTGTTTTTATATGAGTGAGAAGGCGAGTGGCTGACGTGAAGCGAACGATAACAAATAATTTAACGGGTGGGAGGGGGGCTGTTACACTTAATACTACATAATTTGTTTATTTTTGTTTAGGATGTTGAAAATTGTAATGTTTTCACAGGAAAAAAATTTGTTTATATTTTTATTTCATGGGGAGTGATAACAGAAAGATTAAATCGCTAAGTGTTGAGAGACTCGAATCGCTTAATTATTTTTACCTTTCTTCACCTCAAGTCGGATACTGCAATGTCCATAAGTTATATACTTACTGATGTAGCATTCATGGTCCTACGGAGTTTGTTTTGAACTGATGTTAATGTTCGACTACTGCTTTGTAATACGTGTCGCTCTGTGATCATAACATTTAACACATACTGTAATCAATTTATAAGTTCAAACTGAATCAATTATTTTGTATCCTTAGCTAAAACCAAATTAGTGTTTTGTCAACATACTAGAAATAAATTTGGTTAGGATGTAATTTTATGAATTGTAAAATGTATGTTATCTATGTGCATTCCTATCTCGCTGTGTAACATACATACTGTGAGACGACAGTTTCGCAGCTTGAATATCATATTTATTCGTTCTCACTTATAATATCATATTTATTCGTTTTTATAAATAAGAGTGTTGTTCTTATGAGGGGTTTATTTTGGTTTAATATCTATAAACTTATTTGGAAGCTTTAACAACCCGGCGATACAGCCAAACATAGCTTTCCCATTTATCAGTTTATCCTTGTTAAATACCTATTTTGGTTGGTATATATATGCTTAAACTGCCATGATTATTGAGATGTTCTCAACATAACCAATCACAAAACTGCTCGAGCAAACAATTCTCAATGAAACATACTGTTATACAAAATATTCCCATAACTAATAAAACATGTTTTAAATAAAATAGCATAACTGAATATGTCATCTAAAAATTGTTTAGTATCTAGATGATCAAATGATGTCTACTAAATTTTTAAACCGGTATGCAAATTTTAATTTAATTTTTAAACAAACCCCAAGTATTTTTCCCATTTTGAAAGAAATGTGCTGTTAGTCTGGCATAGTTTAAGACAATCTAATTAAATAAATAAATTTTATTAACAACTAAGTTATGGTGCTTTGAATCAGCCTTTACAATATGCTTTTTAAAGTTTAAGGCTTCTTTAGACACGTTTATTAAATTGTAGATCTTAGCCATGATTAGAAATGTCAATATTTAGTTATTTGTTTAACCCTCTAAATATGATTATTACTGTCATTGTAAAAATATTTTCATGGCTAGCCTTTTCAAGGACATTCATACTGCTTATAAATCTAGATCAAGTCCATGAAAAATTATTCTTTCAACAAGCCAAATTACAATAATGTGTTGGCTAATTCTTGGGGGGTTTGTTTAAAACATAGTAAATATAATTTTTAATCCCCATATGACCAACTTGTGTTAAGGTTGGTAGTAATAAGTAGGGCAAATATTAAAAGGAGGGATCATGTTTTCCCATATGTTTAGGCTTTTTTGGTCGGCACTGGTGTAAATATTCAATTACTAATACAGTTTCAAGATGATTCTGAACCTGTTGGTTGGGTTGGTACAAATTATTTAATATTAAGCTGATTTATTCAACACTTATTAATTTTTTTTTTCAAGTTAAACCACCTGCCTAAAAATAATTTCTCATTACAAAACACTTTTTCAGTATATTGTGAAATTGTATTGCTGATTGATTTTCATGTAATTTGTTGTTAAGAGTTAAGGATTATATATTTTTTATAAATTACTATAGGGATGCTGTAATTTAATTCCTTTTATGCAAAGGCACATTGACCAGTAAGTGCATTTCATGTTTGGTTAAAAAGGAGAATGGGCTGGTTTTCTTAGAAATGTAATAAAAGATATACATTAAAATAATACCCATTTACCATTGGTTTATGAGGTTACGCTAAACAACTAAACTTGAACTTTAATATTTGTTGGATGAGTTATCAATCATAATTTTTTTAAATATTTTTTATTTCTTTTTTGCTCAAATGATAAAACATATAAAGAATAATCAATGGTTTATATATTTATGTATAAAAAATACTTTGGATAAATGCATTTGAAAGTAATAAGAATTTTTAATGAATAATCATGGACAATTTTTATAAAACAACATAAGTTTCTTTTACATGTTATTTTGTATAGTCTTAATGAAAGATGTTGCAATATTCGTCTAAAGCTTTGCAAATTGAAATTAAAGTTTTCAAATTTCGAGTACACAACCAGGTCTTTTGCACCGAGTTTAATTTTTTTTTGTCCCACCTTTGTATCCTAGGACACTGGGTTCTAGCCCAGAACTGTTTTACACATTACTTCAGGCTAGTCCTAGATGGCATTATCTTATGGATAAAATCCATTAGGATTGATGGGAACTGAACCTGGGCCCTCGGGACCCGAAGCCCCACACTATCAGCTCGCTCCCCTCAACTTTTCAAAACATTTAAATCAATTAACCTCAACAGCCTGCCACCATGGACCTTCTGGTCTGTGTGGTGAGCTAAAGAAGCCCAATAGTGTTGTGGTATACGTTATACTAGAGTTCGTCTAGCGGTCGAAAACTCGAACAAAAATATTTCATGTACAGACTTCTCTACTATTTTCATCCCACGCTGTAAATAATACATGAGATTGGAATTTCTTCCATTTGTTTTGATTTTCTGTTTATTTTTTGTTGTTATTTCGTCACCAGCATGGCAACCCATGAGACCCATGTTATTTTTTTTTATTTTTTTCATTTGTGTGCTTATTTTTGAGCCTATTTTAATTTGCAGAGGGATTCTGCACATCTACAGGAAAATATCTTTCCAAAAGTATGCATAGATTTTCCTTGTGATGCACACGAGCTGATAAAAAAGGTTTAAAAAAACATGCTTGCCTATTAATATATAGAAGCTAGTGGTGACTACAGTGAGATAAGATTGTGTTTGGTATTCTTGGTTTATTGTGAAATAACTGTACTGTAAATTACTAAGAAAGCAGTGGGTATAGGTGGAATCGCTTGTTTAACCTTTGCCTGAGTTACAAATAACACTAGTGTGCATGTATATATTTTCCGCTTTCAAATTGTTACAGGGGTTTTGTATTGTTTCTGTGAACCTAAATTTGTCTTTAGGAATGTACTGTTCATTTGTTCCCCGCATTTTCTCAATTTGACCCAACATCATTACGAATAAATACAAGTAACGCTTTTTTATTTCTATTAAATTCGGAATATTTGAAATTCATTCATGTACGAAGTACCTGGAGTTGAAATTCTAATTGCTTAGTTTGGGTCGGTTACTTGTCCTTACGTGAGCTCCTTGAATGGGTTTCTTGTTTTTGAGTGTGTTCGCTTTCTATAGATTATTTCATCCAATTAAAACCTAAGATAGGGATTATCAAGCTTAAATTATGATCTCAGTAAAATCAGCCCATGTCCTTTTTAAATGGTAGTATTTTTTGAAAGCTGTACAAGTACCAAGAAAAGACTGTGGATAAGTTTGCACTAAAACGAATCTAACATAGTTCGATTTACAATCAAATTGTATACTCATGTAGTTTGATTTGTAATTTCTGACATTTTGTATTTTGAAAACCAACACTTTGATTTGCTTTTGTACGTTACTTTTTCTGCCCATGTGTGGTAAAGTGGATCTGAAGATTCAGTTGTTTTGTTTTAATCTAAGGACAATTGTTATCGTTTTGGAACACAAATAAGTTGAATGGGTTCGAAATAAATATTTTTTCTTCTCGACCATTGTTGAATTGTTTTAATGACTTCCTCTCATACATTCATTTTTACTAAAGGGGATATCCCCTGGGTTGCAAACAATAATTTATTTTTCTTCCAAACTTGTTGCGCAACAATATGCTTGATAAGTAGTTTTTTTTAAAGAGATAGAGCTCAGCTAGCTTTAGAGAGGATTAGAGCTAAGGAGTATTGATAAAGTTTACACAACATAAGATCAGCCTCATGGGTTTGCAAATAATGAATCACTTTGTAAAAATATTCCAATTTAGAAATAAGCTGACTAGTAAATGGTTTGGGATAGGTTTTTGCCTTTATATTTAACTAGTTCTGCCTGTGCTCCGCAACAAGTAGAGCAGATTTTGTGGTTCTTTACTGCCTTGTCCGATGCAAACTGCTGGATGATTAGGCGTTTCATCTTGATACGAATCAATATTAATGTCCCTGGCAAGGCAAAATACTCTACAGATGAATTAGTTTTTACCAACTTAAAACCCATAAGGCTCTTCCCAAACTAAACGGTTCTTGTTTCATGCAACATCATCATTGTGTTAAAGCTAAACTAAATATGTAATCAATTGGAAGACTCACGTATTAAAAGGTTAGAAAACTAAAATTAAATATTCCACATCATTAGATATAAATATTCACACACGTGCTGTCAATTTCACCTTTCATTAAGGTTCGTGCCGTTAGGAGGTTTATTGAAAACCCCATTTTTTTTGCAAGTGTCCTATAAAGACCTTTTATTCAAGAATTCGGTTGATAGAGGCTTACAGTTTTCCTAAAAGTTTGAGATCCTTATTACCTTTATATATAGAGTTTGTTTGAGAATAGTATGCTAACATGTTACATGTAATAAAAAAAGCTTCTGGGGATGCATTCTCTTAAGTCGTGTAAGTTTGGCCCTGTGTTGTCCTCTTCACAGCACTGGTGATAACTTTGTAAATACTGACATACTGTAGGTTTTAGTAAAACCTACGTTTATAGATTAGAGATTTCCACTACAGGGTGCGCAGCAGTAGGATAAACCAGGGAAAAACAAAAGTATACATAATCTTCATGGAGCATATTCAGAACGCTGGATTGGAAAGCCAATTCATAGAAGGTTAAATTTTCCCTCCAGTTCATTGTACTACACATACACATACACTGGAGCTTTGTGCCTATTTTACTTACTTTATTTTATTTCCTGTTTAGCATTTAAGCCAACTTAACTTGTGTAAACATAATATAACATGAGGTAAAACAGGTACAATAAAGGTTAAGCAATCAATCAGCAAATATTGGAGCATTGTTTATTCTCAATCATAAAAGTAATTGCTAACTTTTAATTTGACACAAAAAATACACATACCACTCTTAGTTGACTAGACAGTTACATGAGTAAATAGTGAGCATGAACAAGAGTCATCACAGCCTTAAGCTTTGATACATAAACAACCTTCCAAACTGTACTAATAGTTTTTATTGTTTGTGAAATCAAACAGTGAAAATGTGAATAGTCTTCATTATGATTCACAAAGCAAGCATACACTAGATGACACATTGAAGAAAAACTTCTTTGGTGTAAAGAAAGTTTTTTTTAGAGATACAGGTATATCTCTACTTAAGAGTCTTCCGTAGTGGAAGCCATGTTGGATTTCTTCCCCATAAGAACAATGTTAACTTTGGGTCCAAATATCTCATCAGTAAATTGTCATATAATTATGGATAAGGAGTTAAATTTGAGGAATTGCGGTCCTCTAGAGATTGACGTTTTTTATTTCACAATTTTTAATTTTTATAATGAATAATTGATTATTAATTAGCTTAAAATTAAGCTAATTATTGAAAGGAAATGAAAATGGATTTTTGAAATTCAAAAACCTCAGTCACGAGTATATTATGTTAAAAATACGAATTGTAAATTTCAAAGCTATATCTTAACAAATAACGCCGTTACGTGTCCACAAATGATGTAATGTTTAACATTGTTCTTAAGGGGAAGAAATCCAACATGGCTTCCACTACGGAAGACTCTTAAGGTGTGTTTAGCTTGGAGCGACAGATAAAGGGTTTAAGTTGTCTTGTTAAGCTCAAAACTACTGTCACCAGTCTTGAGGTTCTGCCCTGACCAGCCACAGTGAGGTTATAACTACGTGAAAATAAATCCTAGTTCATCTATTCTTTTGGTCACGGGTTGTAATAGCATTTGGCTGACAAGGTTTTGATATTTCAATTAATTATATCAATGAAAAGTATTAAAGCAAAGTATAAAATTAAATTGAACCCCACAGAGAAGTAAGATACAGAAGAAACACGATGATGGGACAACCAAGCGCTTTCAGCTCTAGTTTGTCGTGAGGAGCAAGGAAGAGCCTGAGCGGTGCAGACTGTTCCTATCGCACAGAGCACAGCATCGTCTACTGTGAGCTTTTTTTTTTTGAAAACTGTTAACCCAACGTTATAAACCAATCCATAATTTTAACTTATCTAGGAGGAGAAACTAATCCAACAATTCACAGAATATAGATAAAACAGTTCTTGAATCAGAGAAAAAGATATTCGTGACAAGCCCTCCAACATAATTTAAAGCCCTCCAAATATTTTGTTGCAAGGAGGGTAAAATTCTAATCGTGCATATAAAACCACAAGAGCACAAACCATGAATCAATATTACATAGCTGGGATAAAGACGCCTGCTGTTTTTTTTTTTTTTTTTTTTTTGAGAAAATGTTCGTACATGAGGGTGAGGAAAGCGTTAAACCTTGTCTTAGACACCATTACTAGTGATAGGCACCACTTAAGTGTGCCATTGAATGTTTCTTATGTACCTTACTCAACTCATCTGTGCTATACCCTCATCAGTTTTGTGTTGAACGAGTTTTCTGCTTATTAGCATTTAAGAATCCTAGGAATTATTTGGCTTTCGATGCCTCACTCAGAAGAAAATTTACTAGCTTATTGATTACCGGTAATTATGGATTAACACCATACACTTATGTAAAACTCAACAATTCATCTGAGAGAGTGCAGACGCTAAAATCAACAGTTTACATCAGCTTAAGTCGCACCAGTCGTTCCTAGCAAAACGCACCTTTACAAACTGTTATATATTCTCTAAATCTATGAATGGTAAGACCACAGGTTGGTTTCAGCACCTTTAACCTAAAGGAGAGGTGCTGCCACCTAGGCAGCAATCCTGTGAACTACAAACTTAATCCTCATACGCTTATAGTCTTTTTCCAAATAAGGAAAACATCATCATGTTTATGGTTTTGTAAACAGTACAATTTCAATGAAAGTGTTTGCTAGTTATTTAAAGCAGCAAAAATATAAAGCGTATTATTGTTCGAAAATTAAATGCACAAGAACTTACTGTACTTAATAATAAATGTTAGTGGAATACAATTTATTGTGCAAGCTCATTGTAAAGTAAGTCTTCAATTAAAAGTCAAGTTGTTCGCTTGACATTGCAGAAAGTTTACTAAAAAGTTTAGGTAATATCCTTAAAACCTGAATACACCAATAATTTGTTGTACATTTAAACACATTTTACATGAAATACTCGGAATACCCAATACAGCAAAATGACACTGCTTAAGTCGAACATTAGCTATACTAGTAACAACTACACTTTAAAACTATTCCTTAAAATGTAAAGCTTAAGCTCTTCTCAATTTACATTCACAGCTATAATGGATGGAATTTACATAGACTAGTTAGTAAAGATTAATAAATTGTTAATCTATATTCAACTAATTAAAAAAAAAAAAAAAAATTCTAGCATTTAAGCAACATTGAGTAGGTACAGGTTTACAAGTTGAATTCCATTGATGTAAAATTATTTTCCTAACAAAAAATTTGTTTTGATGTACTCATATTTATAAAAAGGGCTTACGAGATGTGTAAGGTTTTCTCATAAATGAAGATACAAATATTTTCAATTGTATCATGATAGACTGAAAATATGTATCGTAAAAAATGATTAAACAGATTAATATAATCAATCAAGGAGGCAGTGATATAACAAATATTCAATTGACTCCCTCAGAGATACCATGATAGGTTTGGTAAAAACAAAAACACTTGCACAATTAAACCACTATATAAACCAAAACCACTGGACTTTGAGAGTGTAAATTACACCACTGCAGGTATACTTAGGTGTTATAATTTAGGAGATATACTGAAAAACAGAACAAGTCAGGTATTGTAGAAGCTAAGAAAATCACCCTTAAAACGGTGAAATTGACACATTTAAACCTTTTACAAGTGATCCTTGATTAAGTTAAGCTCCTTTGAGCTCCAATCTTGGCCAAGCAAGCTAGTTGAAATATTAGACAACGCCATTTTCTTAATTTGTCATTTTGCCCTGTAATATTTTAGCTTTTAGCCAGTCCCCAACCGAATGCGACCATTATTATTCTCATTACAGTAGCTGAAAATAATGTAAGGAACAACTCTAGGGGGACTCGTAGGGAGGAGAACGAAGACTCAGTCTACCATAGAAGAAGAAAGAAAGAATACCAGTCTTCTTTCTTCTTCCTACTAATAAGGTCCCTAACTGGGACGAAATATTAAGTTTTCTGTTTTGAGTTTTATGTTTGTTATATTGGTTTATTTGTGTTGGTTTTATCGAGTGGGTCATGGACTCCATTCATGTCCATCAACCTGATTGACTTTAAAAGTGGTTGACTACTCAAACCTCAGGAATCTAAAATACAGGTCACTATTTAAACTTTGCGTCAATTTTTCTTTGACTTCCAATACTGTGATGAGAACAATGTTGATGGGTTGGAACCAGCTAGAATATTAGTTGCTGAAGTAAAAAAATAATAAAAACAACGTTGATCTCAGAATTGTTTGGCTTTGCGGGAGCTTGACGGACATTTTAATTTATGGAAACCCCTCTTATGATAAAGTTTGTACTTAATAACTTCACATAAGAATTTATTTGTTGTAAAATAGTTTTTAAAGACCAAAGGGGGTAAAATAGTCTTTAAAGGGCCTTTTTTGCATTTA